ATGGGGGGAGGGAGGTCAGTCCGCCTCGAAATGTGCACCACACAGGCAATCCAAAGGAAGCGAGCGTGACGCGGTACGCAAAACGCAAGCGAACCGCCGCACGAAATATGAAAAACTGCAGGGGCGAAAAGTCAATGTCATTTGCAATGCAGCGCTGTAAATTACTTAACATGGCCGACTTAAGGCCAAAAGGCAAGTGTGAAGCTAGCGGAGCTTTAAAAGGCAGAGCCCGAGGCTGGAAGCCATGCAGGATGAGCCCCACTTTCGGCAAGTTCCAAATGCTGGAACGGCAGCAGATTGCAGTTTAACTGCACTGATGAAAAACTAAGCTAATTATATGACTAAAATAAATGGCAAAAAAATTAGAACATTTTTTTCTAGAATTTATTGGACTAAATGCGGCTAATGCTCTGCGACTCAGGAGATCACACTCATAGAGTATCCTTCATTCAAATTCAAAGAAATAAAAGTCTAAATATAATATTTATTGACCAAATTGAAAGTTTTTTACCATATAACGGGTAAGTATTTTACAGTGATTTTTTCTTAGTGTAAATCCAGGTGTTTCAGTACGTTGCTGTTGGTCGTGTCCCAACTTTCTGGCATTTATCTCTGTGAAAAGGAATCGCTCAACGCCCGGCGCTCGGCGGAAAGAGCGGTTCGGTGGGGGACTCTTTGTCTTAGCCAAGAGCTGGTTGTTGGCGGTGGGCAGGAAGGCCGGCGGACTGGCAAACTGGCGGAGGACGGAGCACGGAGGATGGAGTGGCCACCGCAAAGCAGCGTTTCCGCCGCGTATTCCTGTGCAGCGAGTCCTGCTCCTTTGGCTTTGTGTATGCAAACAAAGTACGAGATAAACTTTTGTTCTGCCTGAACTTTGTCGCGGCTTGGAGTTCGGGGCTTGGGCTTCTGCAGCTGCTCTTGCTCTTGCTGCTCTGCTGTTTTCGCATTATAATTTCAGCTCGCTTTCGCACAATTCCCGTCTCTTTGTCCGCGCTTTATGAAAATGAGTTAAACATAATACAAATCTGTGGGGCGAGCTTGGGAAATTGTTTTTAAATTTACCAGACCCCCGGTTTTGCTGTCACACGCGCGGCAGAGGCGGCAATCCGGCATTCGGGCGACGGAATTGAAAATGGCAGGAACAATATGTCATTAGAATATAAATTGAAATTGACGGGCCAACTTGTTTGCTTTTCGTCGGTATTTCTTTGCGGCACGCAGACAGGGGAACTGTCATTGGTTTTGCATGTTGCAGGTTGATTAAAAAACTATACGAGAGTGCTCCACTCACGTGCCGCACGCAGGTCGAGGCGAAAAGTATACTTATCCGGATGCGGATGCGGATGAGGGGACTTCTGTGGAAGAAACAAATCCGAGGGGGCTCAGGGTGCCAGGCCATAGACATACTTTTCCAATTTACCCCCACCCCATCGCAGGAGCGGACTGTGCGAAATGAGCCACTCAAAGCAATCAGGCAGACACATCTCTGGCCCCACCCAATCACTCAGCCGAGCTCCAGAGCCCCGGCCCCCGTTTCCGGCCGAAGGAACCCATCCCGGCAGCCCATTCCCATCTCCACCAGCCATCAGCGCCATGAATTATGCAAATCTCTTGCGGCCAACTCAACGCAGAGGCGAAGGCAGCGGCAGCGGCAACGGCCGAGCTGGGAAAAAATCAAACAAAATCGATTGATGTACAAATTTTTCTTAGCATCCGCAAACAATTTTCTCCCCAGAAAGAGGCTGCCTTTTGATTTGTGCGTCAATGACAGGCGGCGGGCGGCGTTCGAGGGGAAATGTTGTCTTGTCCTGGCAGCCTACTCCTAAATTATGTAGATTTGTTTTAGCATAATGCTTGAGCCCCGCCTGGATCCTACAGCGATTCTTTTTCCAACTCGGCTGCAACGTTTTAAACCGCCATTAAGTTGCCTCCATAAATATCAGGCTGCCCCGCCCCCCACTTTAGCCGCCCCGAAGAAGAATTATGTAAATTCGGTTGGTCACAGGGCGACTACGACTGCCCCCCACATCGCCACTCCGCCACTTCACCCATCCGTGCGGATTTCATTGAATTATTGCGCGTTGCCAGGGCAACTGATGGTCCAGGACTCGCAGGACTCGCCTTTTCGACACATCCTGCGTTGCCATAGTTGGCACTGTGCGGTTGCCTTTGAGCCGGACACACTATAGAATATAATATGGGAAATTCTTAAGTTTCCTCTTTGTTTGCCTCGACTAATTTAATTTATTGGCATTCTCCATGCAATTTAGTTTAATTTGCCGGACATTGACTGCGATTGGCCAGCGGTAACTTTTCCATCGGCCATTGTTGGAACTTGCATTTTTAGCAATAACTGTTGGAGAAATCAAATCAGCTGAAAATTAATTTAATTCGCACTTGAACGGCAAAGTTTTGGCTGCCATGTAGCTAGCTTTATGATTTGCTTGCGTTTTATTCCATTGCTTCGCTTCGCTTTGCTTTGCTTTTGCCTGAGAAAGAAAAAAGAAGCGAAAATACCGAGCTGCAAAATTTTAATTATAAAAGTTTGGATCTTGCTCGCCTTGACGCCTGCTTGCCAGGCTGACTGACTGACTGGCTGTCTGCGAAATGGGGGGTTATTAGTGCACCACCACCCACTACTCACCCACCATTCACCACCCGACGTACTCTGCACTTTGCCAATTTCACCAATATTAATTATGATTTCATTTTCGTTAGTTAACAGTTTTTCCCAGCGATTCTTTATTGCTGCCACGTTCCTTTGAAATGAATACCAATGGCAATGCAATGGGAATGGCAATGGAAGGATACTCGGATGCTGGGGCTAAGTGAAAGAGTTTCCTTGTGGCGCAACTTAATTAATTTTACATTGCTGCGAGTGCACTGCTCGCTGGCTGTCAGAAAAGTGTTCAAATGATAAACGAGCTAATTAATATGCGCCAAAACTTGTCCCTGGGCCAACTGGTGGCAGCCAATGCAAATGGCTGGAAAGAGTCGCTTGTGGCCCGCCAATTATGCGATATGATTTGCAAAAGTTCTCCAGCTCCCGCCCACAGCCACCATATTTCTGCGGAATGTCCCCATTTTCTCGGCCAGTTCAACGACACAGTTTTCATTAAAATTCATGTGCAATATATTGAGACTTGCATGCATAATGGTCACTAAGTTTGCGCCCGGCAAACTTGGAGGGGGGTCGTCAAGTGGGCCTCGGAACATGCAAATACCGACGTGGGCAGGGACAACTGGTAACTGGAAACTGGCAACCAGTAACTGGCATCCGGACATCCTCTGCGTTCCGTTCCAAATGAAACTTGCAACGGTAGTATCCGCCTGTATAAAAACGCAGCTCAAGTAGTTTGTGCGCCCTATGAAATTTCATGCATAAACTTTTGCCAAATGCAAAACTTTTAATAATTTAAACCGTGCACGTATGTCGACCTCCCCCTGTCCTCTGCCCTCTGTCCCCTGGCCTCTGGTCAGCGTTTGGGTTTTCGCAGAAAGAGCTTAGAAGAGCTTCAGGCAAAGTCCTCGAAAAAATCGACAAAAAGGACCATCGATGATTATGTATTTTCATATAAATTTGCAGAAAGTTTGCGAGTCCGTTGACTGGCACAAAGGATGTGACACATTTAAATTTCATACTTGGAACTTGCATTATGGAAACGAAAGACTCGAGGGCCCTTCAAACTGAAAATACCTAAAAGCCGCTTGAAGAAAAATTGCAATACCAATTTGGAACTAATTTGTGTGTCCAATTCTGTGCAATTCTTGTTTGTCCAGAAGTACAAAATATAAAATAAATACATTTAATTTCAATATTTTGATAAAATTAACAACAAAATTTCTTTGGAAAATAAAATAACTTATACTTCTGTAAAAAAGTTAGCAAAACTAAATATTAAATGGGTTGTGTATGGAATACAAATTCAAAATAAATATATTTGGTTTTAAGGATTAGCGCTTCTCTCGTCTATGAAAGTCTACTTAAATAAATATTACAGAAAAATCAAGTGCTGAAACTTAAGACCGCCCGAACAAATAAAAGAAACCAGCACTGTTTAGTTTACATCTAATGCTTTATTTTATTTTTGAATATTTTAGGGTTTCTTATGCGCATTAATCATACAATTAGCATCGTACTATGTAGTTAGTAATTAATGAATTCACTTTAAATGAGCACGCGATTGCACGTGCTTATCTAACTCCGTATTATCTGAATTATACTGGTATTTAGTTTTCCGACTAGATCGTCTTGGGATCCGAGCCGTCTATCTTTTATCTGTTTAATCTGTAGTAATGCCCGCGATTCCTATTACTCCTGCATCCAACTGGCTATGTAAGGTACACACACATACACATTTATGTAGATAAATTGTAACGCTTTTGCTTGGTTTTCGGTTCGATTCCCTTTTTAATTCGCTTTTGGCTCCGTTCGACATGCTGAACACAGGAGCTGTAAGGTTCTATGCGAATTCGGGGGGCCGCGGCCAATAAAATATACAAGTGAGCTTTGACCTCTATTGTGTGCCCTAAATGAAACAGTACGGATTCGAATCGGATTCGAGTGGGATTTGAATTTAAATTCGACTCGATTCGGAACGTACAATTGGAAAGGTGCAAAAGCTGATAAAATGCCTGCTGGGTTTTCGTAACACTCAATAAGTGGCGTATTGATGTATTCATGTATTTACAGGTTGACACTCCGCGTGCCGCTAATATGTATGCAAGAACTCACACTCAAATGCTCCGACTAATATTCCGAATGGGGGATTAGCTTAGTTCCGTAGCTCCTTCGCCTCTTCTTCGCTCTTTTTGGTGGTACAACACGTTTAAACGTTGCTTAAACTCTAATTTACATCGAAAAACATTACGTTGAATTGCTGTTGCGTTGTTATCGTTTTGGTTTGGTTATGGGTGCGCGCTTACTGGCTAAAATAAGACTACAGCTGCAATCGAACCATCGAAGGAATGGCAGTGAAACGGAAACGGATTTCGATTCGAGTTCGAGTTCGAAACACAAATGTGGCAAATGGCAGATACTTTACATACTAACATTTTGCAGTGTATTTCTGTTTTCCGTTTTATTTCATCCTCAATATTTTGTTATTTATGGTTTCGCCTGAAACTAAATAATATCACTATATAATGTTTGCTTAATTTACATACACATCCTGCGCATCGAGCGTAAGCCCGACATTTATGAAGTAAAATGCAGTTCACATTCAGATATCTAATGCTTATTTACATGACCTAGTTCGAGTTGCTTACACTACCATGGGGATGGAACTGGGGGGTGGGATTTGGTTAGAGGATTTGCATTCTCGAATCGCAATTTCCATTAACCATTTTCCGGTTTTATGTGTGTGATGTGTGAGGGTGTGTGTGTGCTAATTTAATCGTGGACAAAACACTTGAAAAATTATTTACATGGGTTCCATTTTAATTTCTTTCAGCTTTCTGGTTTCCTATCATTCTTTGTCTTTTTTCCGTTTCTCTTATTTTTTGGTTGGCCGGGAAGGGAACACAATTAGCCTTGCATTTTTGTTAATTTTCTCTGAATTTGCAGCTTATGCTTCCGTCCCTCCCCGCCAACTTACTCCTCTTAGTGCTGAGCCCTCGGCTTGTGCTTCTCCGTGATCCTAATCCCGATCTCCTGCCGAATCAAGTGCTTATCCCAGGCCCAGTCGGCGTCTGTCGAACTGACAATTACTCAAGGCCAGGGCCAAAAGCAGTGCCGTGTGGAGAAGCAGGCTGTGGGGCATGGATCCTGGCAGGCTGCCGACCGGGGCACCGTTGCTGCGCGACTTGGAGCTGGCCACCACCTCGGATTCCTCGGGGACGACGTCCTCTTTGTTGGCGGCGACGATAAATTGAAATATATCACTGACCTGCGAGGAAAAGGGGAAAGGCGAGAAAAGCGTACAGGGTTTGAGTACAGAAAAGTGGCACAGAAATCAAGATTAAGTAGCCGCTCTGTCGCACGGACTAGATTTATGCCGGCCCTTTTGGCACCGAACCATGGAGAACCTTGGAGAACTCACCTCATTCCAGCCGTAGCGGTTCTTGGCCTGCACAATTGCCTCGTAGTAAGCGCCCGGATGCAGATTCTTGATGGTGTAGGACATGATGTGTGTCAGGGGCTCCGAGGACGGCCGGTGCTCCGGGGTGAGGATGAAGTCGTGCCACCTGCCCGGCTGCTGGTACGAATCATTCATCTATCCGGAGGGGATATCACGGAAAAGCAGAGGGACAGTGAGGGAGAGAGAAGGAAAAGAAGAGCCAAATTAAGTGCCGGCTTCAGCCATTGACAGTTTTCCTTTGATTCCTTAATTAATTTTATGTCCTGCGCGAGGAAACCAAATGATTTCCGCTACGAGCGCCCGATCAAGTTATGACAGCTATCACATCAATTAAGCCTCCTCCTCTTGATTCGCCGCTCCGGCGGAAAGTCCTCCAATAATTGCACTTCAATGGCGCATGAATGCAGAAAGGAAAAAACCAAAAATTATCTCCGCCCAATCAACGGAGCGTGGCAGGCCACTGCAGTTTGACATTCATCGCCAAGTGCGCGTGAGTCGAAATCTCATTAAAATCCCACCCGATTTGCCCGTGTGTATGGCCCAGAGTCGCAATTAAGCGACATTTTCATGTGTCTACGCTGATACTCGTATTAAAAATCACTTTGCTCTGCCCACCTTGAATTTGCTACAGGGAAAATATTTTCACGATTTTTATAAAACATTTTATAGTGCGACTTTTCTCTTACAATTTTATCTTTAAAGATCAAACTAATTATGATTTTATGAAAAAAAGAGTAGTAATACTGATACTCTAATGGTAAATAGAATTTTTCATATATTTTAATCGGAGATCTATTAATTATTATCTTTTTCCAACATTTTTTTTGCGTTTCTAAATTATTTTAAGTTTTTCCTTATAAACCAAAATCTATTTTTCACACTGTACTCATTTTCTATACTTCCCACTCAATGGCTTCGTTTCGGCTTTTTTTGTGAGCATTTTGGAGCTCGATTTTTTCGACTCCTCGGTGAATGTAATTTTAATCACGTACTTCATTAGTGAGCGCCGACGACGTCTCCAAAAACAAAAGCCATTTCGAGACGAGACATCAAGGTATCGGATTGCCTTTAAAGGCAGCCATATCCACGGAGCATCTGCATCTCCCAGCCCATTGTCTGGATTTCAGTCTGGCGGGATCGGGCTTTGTGCATATTTCACAATTAATTAATTGAATACACTCCTTTCATATCGGATTGCCAGTGGCTTCCCCACCCATTATCCCGTATTCCTTGTACCTTATACCTCTTGTCCCTCTTGAACTCACCAGCACTCGACGGTAGAGTAGGCGGACCTCCTCCAGCGGCGGGTAGCTATCGATTTTCCAGGTCAGATTGTAGCTGTCCGTCGAACGACCCCACTTGGGCGAGTAGAACTCGGCGGGTCCGGGGCGTCCGGAGAGCTCCATGTACTTGCGGGACCGGCCCAGCGAATTGTCCGCCACGCAGCTGAAAGGGATTTCTAATTAGCATATGGCTTAAATGGTTAATTGCCTTAATTGGCTTTTGGCTTTTCGAATTTTCTCCTTTTTATTTTGTTTTTATTTGGTTTCTGGTTGCGTCATGTTTGCCTGCAATCACTTTTGCACACGGCCAAAAATGTAATTTCCTTTTAATTTTGCATTAAACTCTGTCAGCATTACTCATACGCCACGTGGGGCGTGTGGCAAGTGGCAAGTGGCGAGGGGCGAAGAGAAAATCAACCATCCGCCCCGTGGACGAACGACTGGTGCCCGCATCGATCTGGCAGTCGGCAAGTGGCTGGCAACCGACTGGGGAACTCGACTCAACTAATCCAAACACGTCGACACGTCGTGTGCACAAAAGCCACTCACTGTGGGTGGTGACCAGGTGGTTGGGTGCTTCGATGGGCTCCACCAACACCACCATCACCACCATCGCCCCCATTGGAAGATGGCTAAAACTTTGTGCATGAAATGTTGTGTCAACATGGCGAAACTTCCGCTTCTTTAATATGTTTCAGACAGATTGACATTGATGTGGAAAACTTGTTTGTCCGCAAAATGGGTGGGCCACGCCCCCTCGCCCCCCGCCCGCACAGACTATTCCCCAAAGCCGGACGTGTACTATAGCATGTAACGAATGTATGGCTAAGCCTCGTTTCTCGGGGAGCCAACTCGGCCAACTCAGACAAGTGGGAACTTCGAACTGCTAACTGGCTGGCAGAAAGTGAAATAAGTTGTAGCCAAAGTTGCCAAATTGACTAAATCAACGCTGGCCAGCAAAGTTCATTGTAAGCCACAAGTTGTCCCCGATTCTGTCGAATGTGACGATTCAGTTGGATCCCAGTTAGGAGCCCAATCTCACCTGTAGTTGCCGAAGTCCTCCTGCTGGATGTGCCGGATGGTGAGCGTGTGCCGGTTGGCCCGGGTGCCCATGGTGCGTCTGTCTGTCGTTTGGATCGGAAATGAGTTCTGGTACCAGGACACCTGCAGCGAGAAGGGCTGGGGATTAGCTTGGGTCGGGATGACGATGACGATGATCAAGATGAAGATGAAGCACATGTCAATTGACTGCTACTGCTGTTGCAACTAATAAATTCAACTCAAAATTTGACCCACTTGCAGTAACTTCTTCCTGCCACAATTCGAAACGAAAAACGAAACGAAATGAAATGAAAGTTGGGCAAATAAAAATGGCATTAATTTGCCACAGCAAGAAATCGGAAAAAGAAATTGCAGGCCAGCCTGGGCACAAAGCCTGCGAGAACAAGGCAGTCAGGACAGAAAAGAACCGAACAGAATACAACACAACAGGACAGAAACGAAAAACAGGAAAAACAGGAAAAAGTGACCTGAAAACAAAGTTCTTGCATAAACCGGAGGCCGGGGCGTATGGGGAAGGCAGGATGACTCGGCAGCCTGCCTGCCCATGGCCCCGTAATCGTAATAATCTAAAAATCCACGAAAAATAACAAAAACTATCTGGGCACAATGGAACGAATGGAACGGTGCATTCAAAGAGCCAACAAACCGTTGCGACTGGATCAGCGTAAACAATGCAAACGAGCTTCGCCTCGAATCCTTCGCCCGAGTGTATCCAGGACTTCTCCACTTGTATATCCGGGGGATCTGCACCCAGATACCCAGGCATCCGTCAGGTTGCAAGGATGATGGCAGTCGGGATGGCAGGATGGCGAGGCAGCAAGGACACACAGAGAAAGAAACAAAGAGAGGCGGCAGAGGAATTTAGCACACGAAGCAGCAATCTGATTACAGTCAAAAATCAATTTATATACAGTTGCTAAGACTCCGTTTGGTCTCGGCTTTCTCCGCCCGTTCAAATTGTTTTCTGCCCCGCATTTGTCTATATCGAATCGGAATCGCCGGTGCCGCATTGTTGCATGCATCCAGTATCTGGAGTCTTGTATCTGCACAGCGGTTTCTGGCCAAGGATTTGGATTCCCGCTGCAGTCAGCAGCTTTAAGGCTCTGATTTACGAGCCCCGCGAGACTCTTTGGCCCCAAAACACTTTTCTTCGCTTCTAGATTTTTCTTCCCTTTTTCATCTGCAGTTGCAGAGCGAAAGTTTAGTTATCTCCCAAAATAGATTTCAAGTTGCCGCTTTATTCGCGCAATGATTAATGGACAGATTCCGCGGTGCAGATACGGTTACATATACTGTGTTTATACGATGCCGAATTCACGCTATCATTTCACGCTTTCGGCCGATTCGTGCTTGTATAAACGCCATTTCGTGAATTCGGCAACACACGAAAGTTGACTATGATTTCAGCCCAAAAGCGTGATTTGGTGATATGCAGTATGGTAACTCTGTAAAAAATGATCGACGTTGCCAGATCGCTAGAAATTGAAGGCCTTTTATAGGCTATATCTCTAATCAGTGGTATGAAAAATTAGATATTTTTGCCGGTCCGGCATCCCTATCAGCTGAGAGTGAATAAAAGCATGAATTCTCGGCTGTCGTATAAACAGGGGTTATTTCTATTTCGCGCTTTCAAGAAATCGTGTTTGCTATCGTATAAACATAGTAATAGGCAACTAAGTAATATCATTTTCTAGTTTTACAGAGATAATCTAATCAAACCAAAAAAATGGCATTTTCATTGTTTCTGAACAAAATTCGATTATGTCCCTGCGGTTATGTTTATGATATTTTGTGTTTTTTACATTTAACTAAATTGTATTTCTTAAATATTTATGGCTGTCTAAACTTTTAATTTAATGTAGTTCCTTGATTAGTTATTGCATTCCACATTTTGAAATAAGTTTAATCACTAGATTGTTAACGCTGTCTAAATTTTAAAATATATTGAATTTCTGATTACTTTTTACTGTCTAAATTTGTCAATAAATATATTTTCTTAATTACTTATCGCTGTTAAAATATTTTTTTTTTAATTTTATTTTATTTTGGCATACTTACATAGCACATCCAGCCTCATGTCGACTGTGACCGGATCACCCACTCCGTTGTCGGCGGTGCACTGGTAGACTCCCGCCTGCGTGCGCTCCAGCTTCTCCAGGGTCAAAATAGGTCCGTCTCCGATCCTGGCCGACGACTTGTTTGCGCCGCTCTGCAAGGATGCAGGGAGTAAAAAAAGGAAGAAAGAGAAAAGGGGTGGCATATATAGAGTAACGCTTTGTAAACAGAGTGGCAACAAATTGAATCAATCGCAGCCATCTTTTGGCCCCGGCAAAAATGAAGTCGGCGAGAGTGCAAGTAGCAAATGTCAAAAGACAAATGCTGTTGGCAGGCGAAAAGAAGTACGGGAAAGAAACGAAACGAAACGAAACGAAATAGAGCCCAAATGAAGACATCTCCCCGGCGAAAGGCGAAAAACTTGCTCCGCCTGCACAGAGTTCGGGGGCCAAAAGGCTATAAGGCAAGTTGCACAAATATTGGATGTGGAGCATGCAAAACTGGATGTAAACACAGACATCGGAGCGGGTCTCAAAGGGCCAAAAAGGGCGTTGTAGCAAGTCAGCTTTTTGGCTTTCTAGCTTCCTCGATTTCTGCTTTTCTGGCTTTCTGGCTGCGAGCGTCTTTTCTTTGGCTTGGCTCGATTTGGCTCGGTTTGGTCTGGGCCAAGTGACGCCCCTGGGGGAACACGTGTCAACCTGTGCTCCACAGACAGCCGAAAACAGGACGGAAACACTGGGGCAGATTGAAATGGAACGCAGTTCCAATGGAGTGACACCCAGCTTGGCAGTGTCTCCAGGCGCAGGACGAGAAGGACCCTTCCCATATAACATACATAGGTGGAGTCGGAACAACTCATCGTACCTGCCTGTGGAGCAAACAAATCGAACGGAAATGTCAAATGCGCCAAAGTGCAGTAATGCAAACGAGACTTTTACCCAAATGTTCGGGCTCTGACATGGACACATATGGCACATACACACACTTTCTATTGCGTGGAGTGCTTACTCCGACACTTGCTTTATTGAAAGTTTGTGTGCGAATAGAAGTAGATACACTGAGAGAAAAAAATTTAAGTATATTTTATATAACAAAAAATAAATAAGAACACTGTACTTTTAAGAAATATTAAATTTAATGTCTAAGAATTTAAATCAAAATAATTTTTAATTTATACGAAAGTTACGACTAACTTACTGAAATTAATTTAAAATTTATTACAAGTTGTATCATGTTTGTAAATAAACAAATACATATTTTTCCCATAGTTCAGTCAATAATATATCAAACTAAGTAAATTACTTTCCCCTTATTTTAAAAACTAATCTGCCCCAGAACTAATGACCTATTTTCTGAGTGTAAGCCTCTGTGTATGTGCTAACTGCTCGAGTGACACTGACAGTGAGTGGGTCACTAGCCGATTGCCAACTGGCAATTCCTGGGGCCCCATGTATAGGTATATGCTGGGTAGCATACTTTTGTGGGTCCATGAATCGCATATCGCATTAATTACGCTTTGAGTGCGAGCAAGCAATTCTCCCTGGCAACTGGCAACTAGAAGCTGGCAACCTGCAATCTCAGCTCACCTTCTCCTTAGGTTCATAGCTTCATTTGCAAGTGGCTGTCGCTGACAGTGATTTAGTGTAAATTCTCTGGCATCGAATCAATGCCAGGTTCGGATCCCGAATATATGGCTCAGCTCTATACAATGGTTTATGGGAAATGGGTAATGGTAATGAAACTGGCTGCCTTTGTGTCTATCCGCTCCAGTTGGCTGGGAACTTGATAAACTTCTCGAAATTAGCAGCGAAAACTAATTGCCAACTCGCATCCGCATTTGCAAGTCATATAGGTCGGCATAAATTCATTTGTCCCGCTGCCGCTTCCCATCCCGTTTTGGCCCACTTTGAATGGCTGGCAAATATGTTATCCCTTTGTTGGCTCATGCGTAAAATTATGTGTTTGTTGAATTCATAATTGCCCCCCATTACAGCCACATGCCGCAATCGTAGATTGTTGGGGCGGCGGTGCCGCCTTGCGATTTATCATCTCACTTTTTGTTTGCTCCTGCTGCCGAGCGGAGATTTCGACTGCGAATGTGTTGAAAAGTGTGAGTGATGAGATATGTTGTTGATTTATAATACAAACAGACCTGCGTTGTGTGTGACTTTAATGTAGGCGAATCATTTTTAATTAATAACGAACTTTTGGCCATCCAAAATGGCTGAAAAACTTTTCCCCCCTTCTTTTCGCCCGATTTTCAGCAGGAAAGTTGGCGGGCTCTCAGGAGCTTAAAAGCGAGTGAAAGTGAAGTCTGAAAAGGGAAAGTGCTTAACAACTGACCCCACGCAGCTTAAACGAGGCGCCCATTGGGCGGACTGAACGCAATTTAAATTTACATAACGAGGCGAAACAGTTGCGAGAATTAAATTCAATTAAACTAAATGAAATTCACTTAAAACGGCATCGGCACAAAGCGATGTGTAACGAACCTTCTTGGTCCAGAAAATGGATGGCACCGGATTACCAGATCCCTTGCACTCCAGCGTAATGGGTCCTCCTTTGCGGGCCTGCAGCTGTCCGGATGTGGGGATGGCCCGTACACTGGGCGGAACTGGGGGCGAGAATCGAAAGGGGGAATTAGGAGGGGGCAAATCAGTGAATCAGTGGCTAATTGATGTGTGCGACTTAAGGAGCACTTGTCAAATGGAAATCTGTGCCCTAATGCTGTGCAAACATGTCGACGTGTACTCACCCAATATCTCAACTGTGTGCACTTGATCACGATTTATTTTGTCACTGATTTGACAAACATAATCCCCGGCATCTTGGGGCTCCAAATCGGATATCTCTAAATTATAACCATCTATCAGTCTTACGCGCTCATCCCTTGTAACCATAATGTTGGAGGCAGTGAGCACATTTGTTCCCCGTCGCCACAGAAGAACGAAATTGCCTGCAAGAGATAGAGATATATGGATATAGAGAAGGGGCGAGAAAAAGTAAAAGAGTGGGGAGGTTGAGGTCTTATAAGCAGATGAAAAATATAGAGCAAAATGTGTCTTCTCGTTGGCTACGAAATTTATTGTAAAATGCCGCAATATAAACATGAAACATTTTGCTGCCAGCGTAGACATATACTTTCAGCTGTCACTGTGGCAGGGAAAGTTGGATGTGGCAAGTGGAAAGCGGCAGGCGAGCGAAAATAGTTTTCGTCCTCACAGATACAGATACATATCTATCTCTCCATCTTTTCGTCTCTCGGCTGTGAACATTCTGCAGATTCCGTTCTGTTTGTCTATCCCGAGCTGAGGTCCTGCCAGGATGGCACAGGATATGTGTGGGCTTCTGTTTTCATCTATTTTTTAGTATGTTTGCTCATATAAATGACATAATTTTGCAGATGTTGCCGGCATAATTCTTTGCTTTTTTATTCTTTGCATATTTTATGCCACTCGGATCGCTTTTATTGTCGTCGTCGCCACAAAAAGGCAAACGAGAATTTGTTAAATGAGATTAAGTGGCGTATAATATGTTTATTTATTTTGTATGCTTAAGTCCTGAAAGAGAGACCCGCAGACCCGCCGACCCGCCGACCAGCGCTCCACTCCGACGACCTCGAACAATTTATGAACTTGTATTTATTATGGAAATATTAAAAAAACAAACGTGAAAAAGCGCCGCACGGACGTATTACGTATACGTGCTGTAAAACCGAAATCAGAGTTGTGTAAATACAACGTCGTCAACGTTTACCCAATGTAAAAGTGGGTGGCTCGGGTTCGTCCTTCGGTCCTTCGGTCGCCGGTCAACCGTTTGCCGGAATATGATTTCCAGCATTCGAAATATGAAATTTTAATGAAATGTTTTTATTTTCCCTCCGACCTCCGTTATGCGTGTGTGCCCCGTCGACTGGCAGCTGACATTTTCCTGACCTTAAGCTGCCATTAAATAATCACAGCTTAAAGTAATGCATTATTAATGCCGCTTTTAAAATGCATTCGCGTCCATAATGAGTGTGCTCAGTTGGGCATTTGCCTTCCATCCTTCCGGTTATTAACAGGAACTGCCGTTGAGGGCAAAAGAAACGCAGCCCTCTTCAAATGCGAATAAAATGCCCGCTTAAGTTGCTCAAAAAAGCCCTCCCCCATAAACCCCTCTCGATTTTTCCGGCTTAAACTCGAGCAATCATCATTTTATTGGGGCTCGATTATTATTGAATCGACTCCTCAGACCTCCACGGCAATGGCCCGGCATTTTGTGGGGGGCAGCAGGTGGCGGAGGGTTTTATTTTGATTTTATATTAGTCCTCGCCGACTTCCGGTCCTGCATTTTATTAGAGTCTAATGGCTGTATATTGATATTGCTGGAGTGAGAGAGGAATGCCATAAAAATTTCATTTTATAGCTCGTCAATATCGACATATGAATTTGCAGGCAAGTTGGAGCCGCCCTCTCAGCCCGCAAAGTGCTCGTATTTTCTGGGTCCCCTAAAAGGCATGCGAGATGGGTTCGAAATCCTAAATGAGTTACCCACTTTCTCCGGGACCTTTTTCAAATAGATTTTAGGTGAAAGCAATTTGGTAAGTCAATACGCTCGCCATAGCCTCTAGACAAATGAAAATCCAATTTATAACCGCGCTCAATATTTATTGACCAGCGTTTCTGTCTGCCATTCACGTGAATGGCGAACGGGTGACAACATGACGTATACGTATTTGATTCGCACATATGTGACGAATGTGGGTACATACACGTTTACGTTTCGAACTATAGCGAACGGCAATCAATGAACGGCTTCATAGACCATTTGATACTTAATTTCTTTTATTGGATTAAAGGCTTGCCCCGCCGCCCTCTTTCTGCTTGACCTCGCCGGAAACTCTTGGGGCATGAAAGCTGCAATCAAACCCTCGCCATGTCACCCGTCGTTAAAAGCTGAAGCGGATTGATGACAGTGCAGGGAAAAAGTGCAAAAAAGCAGATACACAGTCACCCAGTGGTCTGACTACCAGAAACATCGGCAGTGACAGGGCCAGAACCGCAACAAGAGTAAAGTGCATCGGGAGAGATTTCCGGCAACAAATAGTGGAAGCCACATACATATCAAATTACTCCCTGCTGCTGCTGCTGATGATGTTTCGTTTTCTAGCCATTATCATGATTATTTGGCAACAAACTTTTAGAGATTTTCTAGTTTAATTACCAGCAGAATGCTCCTGATGTCCGAAGCTGCCATTAAAGCCCCAGTCAGACTGACATATCACCTGGCTGCTGATGCATGTGGCGAATTATAAAGCCGAGTGAATTATAAATCCCAGCTGAGCTCGAATGACAGCTTCAGGCGCAGATTGAAAATGTGTGTTGACCAGCTGAAACAGCCTCACAAAAAGCCGAAACATCAGGCGCTAATGGGAAATCATTGCACTTTAATGCCTTGGCAAGTGAATCGAATTAAATGAAAATATTTTGCGAAAGAAAAAAGCTACGCACAAACAAGCTGGCACAATCGGAAATGCACACGGCATTTGTTGGACATGCACTTGGAGAAAATAATTCTAATTACCACGGGAGCTTTGAAAAAGAGTAAAAGGAACGGTCTTTTAATGGCTATCAATTGTAATGCTTTGGGGTCTTTTTATTTGTTTAATTTAATTACTTTTAATTAATGTTTAGTTATTATTTTAGATTGTTATGTTTTTTGACTATGAGTAGCGTTACAAAAAGTTCCCTTTTTTTCACCGTGTACTATCCGTTTGATCTACATTGGCTTTCCACAATCGCGGAGTGGGAAACTTTGACTGATGTCAATCTGGGCGCTGGAGTGCATGCTGCGCGGACTGTCGTCGCTGCCATCAATGTGCAATTTATTTTCATTTGCTGCGAACGGTTAATTGCATTTTATTTATTGGCATGTCAACAGCAGTCGCAATTTAAACTTTTCCCCCTTGTTTTTCGTGCGACTGGGTCGAAATTAAAGCGGTTCCGGCGATAATGACTAGCGCGAAGGAAAGCCATCAGCTGGGTCAATATTAGTTGAAATTGTTTAGTCGGGGCAAATATTCCGCTCGCCCTTGCCTTTAATTGATTAAAATTCGATTTTCATTGGCCCTGTGGCTGTGGGTCTGCGGCATTATACGCAGAGTAACTTCCTGTCCTCCTGACAGGCCAGTTGTTTGCCAACAACGCCCAGCATATTGACCACATCGACGATGGCTAAAAGTTTTTGCGGCACTTAGCGAAATAATAAACTTAGCTTGGCAGCAAAGGCAAAAGCCAACCCAATTTGACCTGAATCGAGCTGCTTTTGTGATGGCCAAGAGTGGACTTTGATCCGTCAGAGATATTCTTTGGCCACGCTTGAGTGAGTTTCGTTCGGGAATTTCATTAATTAAGATATTCATATGCGAAATGCAAGCAATCAAAGCGAATAAATTGCAATCCGTTTTGACATTTTTGTATTAGCCCGGGCTAATTGAAGTTGAGCAAGACATTTCTGGCATTTCTGCATATTTTAATATGCCACCGGATTCCCCTTCAAAACGGCAGCTTTTCCATTCATTCATGCATCCATGGGCAATCAAATGTCATTTTATTTGCAGCCCAGTTGCATTCACGCTTGGATTGCATTTCGTTTGACTGACCATTTGACTGGCCGCCTGGCTGCTGTAGGCCGGATCCGGAGTGGAAATCTATCAGCCGGCCGAATCGAGGCCAAACTAAACTCCATTTGGCCATGACAAACGGCTGCCCGATGCTCAACGTTAATCAGCCAAATTTATTTGCTGCCAATATGTGTGAGGTTGCATATTTTGCCGGCCAGCCGATTTTCTAAATGCGAAGGGAAAATGGGAAAAATGTGTCGATGCGTATGGCCGAAACCCAGCGACAGGCTGTTGACAGCTGTTGGTTGGCCAAATGTTGTCGCCGCACTCGAATATTAAATTTATGTGAAGTGACATTTTGCCTAAGCATATTTGCATATATTTTGCATAATTTGCAACGCCTGCCGCCCGTCGAAAATATTATTATTATTATTATTATTGCTGTTGTTGTTGGCCCGGCTCAGCATTTATTTTTATGATCAAATTTTCACATCGCAATACTAATAGCGTCGGATTAATTATACCAGTTCCCGGTCACCCGGTAGCTACTCACCCAGATTCTCCACCTGGCAGGGCAGGACGAGCGTGTCCCCGACGACGGCGCGGTAGGTGTGTCCGCGGGACAGGAAGCGGGGCAGGGTGGCGGCCAGCGCGGAGGGGGCCACCGCCGACTGCTGCACGTTGCTCATCGAGCGGCTGTTGCTGCCTGGAAATGGAAAATGGAAAGCGGTTTAGCTGGCGGCTCTACACGGAAAACAAGCATAGCAGTATCTGGTGGTCTGTGGCATAGAAAGCTAAACTTATTGTGCCGCAAACCAATTAGCGTTTCCGCCATATCAATATCACAAAGTAAAATGCTACTATCAAATAAGTCAGCCACAATAACCTTTTCTCAATTATTGGGCAAAACCAGATTTAATTACAAATACTCCTCGCTGATTTTTAAACAATTGATTTGCCAAATTATTTTCGTAATTTAATTGGCTGTCGTTTTCAGTTCTTGATTTCGCTAATTAGCAAATGCAGTGGCGTAACCATGATACACAAATAGCAAATAAAATAAATTATAATTAAGAGTTGGCTGTATTTCATGTACTTAATTGTCTTATAAATCAAACACGATTTTTTTGTGTCATTTTTAAGTGTGATTTAAAGTCCAAATAAATGTGACAAGCCACAGACACTTAATCATATTTTATTTGATTTCATAATTAAGATATTGGCTTTGAAATACAACAAAGTTATATATTTTCTCACAATAGCTACAACTAATATTTCTTTGAGTGCACTCACACTCTTTGCTTAGAGGGCCCGTCTATCGATGGCAATTTGTTTCCATCTGAATGGGTTTCAATTAGCATAAAAATGTAGCAGCGGGTCCTTCGCGCTTACGCCGAGACCCCAGGACTACCAGGACTACCAGGTCTCCCAGGATGGCAATAAACGCGCTGTACGCACATACCGGAACGTTAGCGCGTTATGTGAGGGGGGCGTATATATGGCGGATGCGGACGGAAGTCCTTCGTCCTTCGTCCTGGCCCCACTGACACGGCTCGGTGTTCGCTGCTCGGTGCGTGTGACCCGTCAGAGTGTGTTAACGCACTCGCCGTGCCCTCGGGGGCATCGTTTCTGTCCTGTTTCGTCCTGTCCAATGTCCGAGTGGCAACATGGCCAACGTGAAAATTGCTGTCGCCCAGCAGCAGCTTAAAGCCAATTTCTATGGCGGCAAGAATAACCCATCTGACCCAGGCCTTTGGCGACAAATGAGCGCAGCGGAGCGTAACAAATGTTCAGCAAGGCTAAATGCAGTTCAAGAGCAGGTCCTGCGCGGCAACAGGACGACACCAACGCAACGTAACAAATTTGATTACAGGAACTGCAGGCAAGGAGGACTCTGACTCTCCTCTTTGGCCAAAAGACGCCCCAAGGAGTCGCCTGCTGGCGGAAAGAAAACGGCAACATCAGCAAACAGGCCAAAAGTCTTTGCTTTTCCAAAACCACCCACTACCCACTGCACTTTTCCGTTTTGTGTGTGTCTGTGCCCGGTCGTTTTATCTTTTACGATACCCCTGGACACGGCCATCTGCCGCCCCCTTTGACCCACCGAACCACCCACGAAACACCCACCTGTCTGCTCTTAGCCGCCCCCTTCTTAAGAGACACTTTTACAGGTCCTTAGCGCCCAGCGGACATAAAAGGACATTTTCGCAGATCATCATTTTACGGGGAAGCGATGGGGCGAGGGGTTGGGGGCAGCCAGAGGACAAAGGAAACGGGCGAAAATTGGTCAGGCTTTAATGCTGGACATGGCCCGTGCGAATTTGTCGACCCTCAGATTTTATATTGTCTCGGCACAAAAGCGCACGCCCGTGTGAAATTGCACAAATTTTGCAGTCAAATGAACTTAAAGACGCACAGGAGTAATAAAGTGGGGGGTAGTAAAACCGAATAAAAGATACTCAGTACTAACAAACTTAAAAACACTCTACTGGAGGATGAATATAACTTTGTTTTCGTATTAAAAGTTAAAATATGTACCTAAAAGTATGCAGTGAATAAAGGAAAGTCGTCTTCCAATATGAATTCATATCACTTATGGATTAGAAATATATTGTTGCATACTTTTAGACGCCTATTTTGAAATTTTAAAGGTATTTCGAAAACTAAGCTCTTTTTGGGTTCATATGAAGACAAGGCTTACTCCTTATTACATAAATCACCACAAAAGCAATCTACCCTCACCCCTAAACAGTACCCTCTACAAAGTACAAAAAGTGTCGAAACGGGCCCTGGAGGAGCACTTTAAATCTCTTTTATTTTCAGGACACTCTCGAGTTTCTCCACCGCCTGTCGAAATACGAGCCGACCCCTGCGTTAATATCTCGGCATGCATAAATATGTCTGGGCTTTGCAGTCGACGCGATATGCACCTCGTCCCCTTTTCAGGGGAATGCCGAAATTAGAGTTTTGCATATGAATTTCTCGGGTAGCCACCTCCTTTTGGCCGTTCGCCTTTGGCTGCCGGTCATTCGGGCCACAAACGACCCAAGTGGCACATGTCGGGGCTCCAGCACATATTTTTCAAATGACCAAAAATGCAGTTGGCCTTAAATTGCATGCATGAAATGCATTAAACATGCAAACCACTTCGCACCGAGAAGGCCGAATGGCAGGCGGGTGATTTGTGTGAGTTGTTGTGTGCGTAAGCCTTTTTCGGGGGAGTAGGGGGCGGCAGAATGGCCAAAATGTGTGGGCGGGGCCTATAGGCGCATTAAACAATTTTAAAGTGGTTCTCAACTATGCACGAAATTTCATTAAAACTGAGCAGAGCTGGGCGAAACTGGGGAGCAAGGCTCCGATGGAAAGGCAAACTTTATTGCTGTCTCTCGACGAGAAAATCAGTAATTTTGCACTGGTAGAAATATGGATGCTGGGCATATTTTTCAACAGAAATAAAAACTAATAGGATTACCACAAAAATACATTTTAAAATAAACGATTTTTGAAAACTACAAATAATGTAAGAAATTGTGATATGATAAGAGATTTAATCTTTTAGACTATAAAATTTCTGTTAAAAATTCCTAAGTCCTTTTCGCCGCGTTTGATTTTCTTTAAGCCCTGAAACTTTGCAGATAGAGGATCATACTCTGAACTAAGCTTTTAGTCCATCAAAATAATGACCGGAGTTGAGTGCTATGAAGCTGCAATCTCTGTTTCTCGCTGTGCTCCACTTTAATTCGAGCTGAAATTTAAGAGTTCTTAAATTTACACTCTCCACTGACTCACGTAGCTAGTCGCGTGCGTTGCGGGGAACGCAAAAACTTTCGCCACTTCCGCGCCGAGCGAACACTTTCTCTCTGTCCGTGCTGAAAAATGAGCTCGAATGGGTTTTGTCCTCGCTGTCGCGGAAACTGTGTCACATGAGTCCATGAGTCCACAGTACAGTGCGCACTCGCACTGACGCACACCGCTACGCCCCTGCACATTTACACGTTTGCAGACCAACCCCCTTGCAAATACACTCGCATGCGAAGCACTTACATCAAAAATGCATACAACATTGCAGCTGCACCGCACAATAAACTCGATTTTGAAACAGACTTCAAGCTCGGCCATGTGATACCTATTGTTTGTTGACAACGACACTGCGACAGCGACAATGCAGTGGATATGCGATCCCCTTTTCATGCCGATTGATTTCCACCTGCCAGCGAGTAAGCGGTGATATGCTCAGCACTTCGCAGCGAAAGTGGTGCGAAAAGCACAGTTTGTTGCTTAAATAATTTATCTCGCTCACAAACACACACTTTACGTGGCGAGGGTTTTAGCAGCTGACGACAAAAGTGGGCAGGGCATTGATGGCATAAATAGCGACGCTGCTTGTAGGGGAATGCACTGAAAAGAACACATCCATATATTTGCGATTTAATAACAAAGTTGCTTAACATTCATATACTATGAATGCTTAACAATTGATTCGTTACTAAACGTTTAAAGTCGAACACAGTTTTTCTGTAGTATTTTATTTACGAAGAGTGTTAATTGGTGGTCTGGTTTTTAGGGACACAGAGGTTAGAATGACGAAGATCACCATCTTGAGATTTTGTATCTATAACTTTGCTTTTTATACTGTATTTGTAACTTAAGTGAAACAATTTGATGAGGAAATTGAATCTTTAAAAATAATAAATTTTAATAATAGACATTAAATTTCTCTCTGGCATAGTTAAATTTTCTTCTTTAGTGCTAGAGACTGATTGAGAAATTCTTCTCCCTGTACCATATCTCCCGTTCTCAGGCTGTTCTGGGCCCCCTAACCAGGTAATGGCGGTTGAGCTCCGCGAGCAGCGGTGACTGCGGCATTTGCGCCTGCTTTTGTAAACGAAGCGCATTGGCATACTTTCGCCAGAGGCCTCTGTTCCCATCCCATATCCATTCGTATCTGTTCAGTTCAGTTCGGGTTCTGTTTCAGCTTCAGTTCCAGTTGCAGTTTCAGTTTCTGTGGCCGCGAGCTGCGAGCAAAGGAGAGAGCTCGCCACCCCAGTTGAATCGATTCGAGGCGAGGCATTTCAAATTGTTTTGCCGAAATCTGGAGCTGCATCTCCTCGCTGCTCTGCGCTTTTCTGCGGCCGCAGCAATAGTTTTAGTTTCAGTTGCAGCAGCACTTTCGTGCTATTCGAATTGCGATTCGAATTGTTTTGTGCCGGCAAGCGACATGGCGGTTGACAATGAGGAGCCGAGCAGAGCAGCTGGAAACGCTGTCACCGGCGACTGATATATGCATGCACTCCATTTCCCAGTCAGCGCACTAAATTTGTTGCATTATTTTCGACGGACACAGAGCCCGCACATGCAGCGTTTTCTCATTTCCGTTGCGTGGTTGCCGCTTCCATGGCAACTTGGCTCTGCTTTCGGTTCTGCGGTTCCGCTTACACGCCAGAGCATTTTTCCCACGATTCTGCTGGCAAAAGTGCTCGTCGAGCTAAACCAGAGGCGGACTCGTGAATTTTTTCAACTCAAAGCACAGAAAAATAATTAGTAAAACTAAATTAAACAGAGTTTAATTTTGTAACCAGATGAAAACATTTTATTAAAAATTTATTCATATATAAAGAGATATATGAGAAATTTCGCCTTGATTTCAAGAACATTTTTTATTTTATTTATTATAATAAATAAGAAGTAGAATA